CGTAGTATTTCCCTCATGGAGCACTTTTGAATATGTTGAAGCTGCTCCACAGTAGTGACTGAGTTTAGATAAGTGCCCGGAATTCGAAAACAGCAACGTTGATGTATTTTGACAATATGTACATGCAACGTAGTATTTCCCACATGGATTATTCTTGAATATGCTGGATATGCTCCATGTTAGTGACGGAGTTTAGGTCAAAAGTGCCCAGCTTTTGGAATAACAACGCTAATGTAGGTTGGCAATATTTAGATGCAGCGTAGCATTTCCCACATGGAGCACTGCTGAATCTGCTCTACGGTAATGACGGAGTTTAGATCAAAGTGCCGAGCGTTAGAAATAACAACGTTGATGTAGGTTGGCAATATGTAGATGCAATGTAATATTTACCACAGGGAGCACTCTTAAATATAATGAATATTCTCCATAGTAGTGACTGAGTTTAGATCGAAGGGCCCTCAAACAACAGCATTATATCATTATAGCAGTAGGCTGTAAAGTCTCTCATTAGGCCTAAAGGGCCCACAACTGTGAGGTACACAGATGTACCCCTAACAGTGTTAAATATTCTGCTGACATCATTAATCAAACATGGCTGAGAGTTTCATCGTAAAAATCGCATTTCATGACTTTATTGAAATATGGATACCATTTTATCACTCACAAAACGAAACATACTTTAACAGTCAATGTAACCTCACTTCATCAATTTCATCACAGTATGTCACTATAATGATAATCTAGGTATGTTATTAATGTTCAATAAATATAATAAGCAGCAAATGTAGCTGAGTCGAATTTAATGAAAATAAAATGATAAAAGAAATGAAAGTCTTAAATTTTGAACACTTTATTTTGTATCGATTAATTTTAAATACATTTCTTTCTATCTGCAAGTCACATTAATTACAATACTACATACAAGTGATAATTCTTATAATATACGTGTACATTTCTATGCAACTATTAAGGAATATAAAGATGTATTGTATAATATTCAAAATATTCTAAAGAAGCATAGCCCGATAATGAAACAGCAGAAAGCTGACCTGAAAAGAAAATTAAAAGCAATTAGTTTAAAAAATGTTCTTAATATATTCAAGACTATTGAAAAATATCTTTTTATTTTTAATATAAAACATTTAAGCATATTTACCAGAGCTATCAGTATAATACAAAATAATATTTATATGCACAAAATATATGATTTCCTTAAAAGACTCATTTAAGGTATTAATCTATTAAATTTTTTTAAGGAAATAATAATTTATAAAATATTTTATAAATATTAGTTTTCCAATTTAATATTATTCAATCAAAGCTGTTAAGTTCAATTTTCAAATAATGATAATACCTTAATTAAGTAATTTAATTAATTAATTAGTTAATTTAAGTAATTTAATATTTTCCAGTACTGTACCTTAGGGTCCTGAGGATTCGAGTGATTAGTACTCTGGCACCTCAGTACTCAGTTCGAGTCCAGGCCGGGCATGTATGTTCGTATTGGTTCGGAATCCACTTTAAACCGTAAGTCCCAGTCTAATATGACTGTGGAACGTTGGGCGTAAGACTGGCAACCCTACCCCATAAAAAGAAAACATTTTCTGTCTTGAAATCCGTCAGTAAACAGACGGCCTTAGCCCACCGTGGGCCTGTTTTGCCAATGAAGAAGAAAATATATATATGTTACATAACATTTATACTTTAACTACAAAAATGGTCTTGTTCATTTAATTCATTTATTGCTAATTGTTAGTCAACTGATTTTCTGATCTAGAATAGCTCAGCTTGGACTTAGGAAGTTTGGAAAGCAAAAATTGCTTAAGCCGATAAATTCTTAGACTAAAAGGTTTATTCATCGAATTCTGGTAGGAATAGAGAGCAAGGTGTGAAATCTCTATTTACAGTTTTTAATTGTATACTAGGTGGTGCGTGGAGCTTGATAAAGAATAAAGCTTGTCTGAAGATAGGCTACAGACGCGACAACCACAACGCTCCTATTGGACCGAGACCTACGGTTTAAAGTGGATTCCGAACTAGTACAAACATTCATGGCTCCACCGGGATTCCAACCCGAAACCTATGGTACCAAGGGCCAGAGTGCTAGCCACTCGGTCATCAAGCCCCTAGATACATAAAGCTTTACTTCATAGGAAATATTTAAGAAACATTGAAATAACTCATAAATCTCACCAATCTTTGAGGTCTTTGGCACCCTGTTTTTAAAATAACTCCGCCAAAGCCTTGGAATCCGCCGCCAAGCCACGAGCCCACCAATCTGCTTGATTGACAAGCGTAACCATTTTGGGTCACCGGTTCAAACCTGGGATCCCGAGCCACTTTGTTCTATCCCATTAATGGCCGCACCAGAGGTCACTGCGTTGGGGAAACCAGGACGTAGTAAGGCTTCCTCGTTTGATCAGATTTCGGAATCCCAGCAATTCTTCAATAAATGCGAAATATTCATGTCAAAGAAAATAAATCTCCATTCGTCCATCACGAATCTCACGGCTCTCATTTCAGATTTAGTTTTAAATTGTTGTGTAAAAAGTAGATTTGTGAATCATCGTAATTCTTCCCAAATGAAGAATATTCATAACACAAAAATAAATTTCAATTTTTCATAAAAAACGGAAGGTGTCATATAGCAAAAGTGTATATACAGTAGAACCTCTGTAAGTCGAACTTCAAGGGAGATGCCAAATAATTCGAGTTACGCGGATTTTGTAAGGAAATATTCGACTTGTAGAGGTTTAGATTCTTTCTAAATTATTTTAAGTTAGAGAGGGTTTTTTTTGTTCCAATGCAGCTGGCAAACACTTAGACAGTTGTCTTTGATGCCTTAAGGCAAGCGCTGCACAGATGTTACTCACTTAGCATTACCCAGGGTGCGCGTGTAACTTGAAGATAATCCACGGACGCGGAGTAACAATGTCCCCGCAACGCTCTGCGATCATGTTAGACCGTGACCTACGGTTTAAAGTGATTCCGGAACCACTACAACATCCATGGCACCGCCGGGACCTCGAATCAAAACCCGGGGTACCGAGCGCCAGCCACTCAGTCGGTGCAGGGGCCCTGAGTTAGAGAGGTAAAATAAATAAAAGTTCAAGTTACAGAGGTAATAAACATGTTTTTTTTGTTATAGTTCAAATGAAATCAATAGCAATAATAGGAATACCTCATAGAATTGGTTATTCTATTTACTGTATACTCATACATTGTTTTCTAAGAAACAATGACGTTCATTGTCGGCTAATCCTTAAAGTCGGTAACTTATTTTTCTTCGAGCTATAAGAGGTAATTAGTTTCAAATGATCGAGCTGTAAAGGTTGTAAAATCAAACATTGCTAATGTTCGAGGTACAGAGGTCCAAATTATTTTTCTTCTAGTTTTGGAGGTTTTCGACTTATCGAGGTTCGACTTGAGGTTCTACTGTATTTACTATAATTTTTATTATATTTACAGACTTACTACTTTTAGCAAGTTCCCGACAATGGCCCGACAACATTTACTACTACAGTCCAACTACATTTTAAAATAAAACCCATTAATATTTAAAATGAACACATTATCTGTCAAAAGCATTATATTTTAAAAAACACAATTACACATGCCCCCTGGGTAGTGCTAAATGAGTAACTGCGGTGCAGCCCTTGCTTATGGCATGAAGATTAACTGTCTCTCTATTGCCAGCTGCATTAGAACAACAAAATAAACACATTATACGTCCAAAAGTTCAAAACACCACTTTTAGCAAGTTAAAATCAACAACCCACATTTACTATTGTGGTCTAACGACATTTTATTTATTTTCCTCAGAAATGCCATTTTTCTAATGTCATCATCCCCAGAGGTGATAACTGGTCCACGGAAAGGAAATTTGTTACAGTTAGTTTGTATATCAACATAAAGAATAAACGACCCATTATTATGTTAGAAGTGTAACTAATTAGCAAGGCTAATTAATAACGAACAAAGAATTTATTAAGACTAAAAAAAAGTTACTCATTTTTTTTATACAGCAATGTTAAGCTCAACAATATGTTAAAATATAGTTGATATCATGTTTCAAGTATACACGTTGAAACAATATTATACGTATTTTTTTTGGTATAGGTCCTGATGGGCGAATGACTAGCTCTCCAGCGCTCGGTGCTATGGATGTTTGTAGGGGTTCGGAATTCACTTTAAGACGTAGGTTGCTGTCTAATACGACTGTAGAGCGCTGGGTGTAGAGATGACAACCTTACCAGGTAAGAAGAAAATCTCCCTTGGCTCGAAATCTGCCAATAGGCAGACGGCCTTGACCTACCATGGGGCTGTTGCACCAATGAATCATTTAAAGATCTCATCTCTGATTTTCCCTCAATATGTAAACATAGGCTTAAATTTCAAAAGTTCCTAACTCCATGACTGTGTCAATCACTCTGAAATTAAGCCAAATTATTCATCTATTAAAAAAATCATTAATATTGTTTTATTTAACATATGTTCATTTAATTGATTAAATCATAAGTAAACATTTATTTTACTGCTGCTGTCTACTTCTTCATTGAGGCAACAGCCCCATGAATGGCCAAGGCAGTCTGCCTGCTGACAGATATCAAGACAGGAGATTGTTTTCTTTTTATAGCCTAGGGTTGCCAGCCCTATTCCAAACAGTCACATTAGACTGGGGCCTACGGTTAAAGGTGGAACCACTACAAGCATCCATAACACAGAACCGAAATCTGACAACGACACTCGAACCAAGAACAGAGCGTTTGTCACTTAACCATCAGACCTCCTATTGCTACTTTACTCACATTTAATTAGTATTCACGGAGGTAGGGTTCTATAATAACTCTACTGACTTCTGAGAACAACATTTTATACTTGAACATAAAAGCCGACATTTGATTCCTCTACAACTCTACACAGAGATTTTTAGCATCATGAAATCAAATTTTCTGGCTGTGCTGTCATCTGTTGATATAATAATTCTATATTATTGTTCGCTTCTCGTTAGATCACCGAAGTCAAGCATCATTGGGCGCGGTCAGTACTTGGGTGGGTGACCACCTGGGAACACCGCGTGCCGTTGGCAAATTTGGGACCTGAATGGCCGAGTGGCTAGCGCTCTGGCGCTCGGTGCCCACAGGTTTAGGGTTCGAATCCCGGCGGTGCCATGGATGTTTGTAGTGGTTCGGAATCCACTTTAAGCCGTAGGTCCCGGTCTCCTATGACTGTAAGAGCGTCACGGAGCCAAAGTCAAGCTTCTACCTATGGGTGCTCCATCACAACAGAAGCTGCTTCCTTCCCCTTCAATCATGAGTACGTATGGGCTCGTGGGCTTGGCCAGCCAAGTGGGATAAGAAACAACAACAACAACATATTATTGTTCTATATTATACACTGAAGTGACAAAAGTCATGGGATACCTCTTAATATCGTGTCGGACCTCCTTTCGCCCGGCGAAGTGCAGCAACTCGACGTGGCATGGACTCAACTAGTCGTTGGAAGTCTTCTGCAGGAATATTGAGCCATGCTGTCTCGACAGCCGTCCATAATTGTGAAAGAGTTAATGGTGCAGGATTTTGGGCACGAACAGACCTCTCGATGATGTCCCATAAATGCTCGATGGGATTCATGTCGGGCGATCTAGGTGGCCAGATCATTCGTTGGAACCAATCGCGAACAGTTGTGGCCCGGTGACATGGCGCATTGTCATCCATAAAAATCCCATCGTTGTTTGGGTACATGAAGTCCATGAATGGCTGCAAGTGATCTCCAAGTAGCTGAACATAAGCATTTCCAGTCAATGTTCGGTCCAGTCGCACCAGAGGACCAAGTCCATGCCATGAAAAACAGCCCACACCATTACGGAGCCACCACCAACTTGAACAGTGCCTTGCTGACAGTTTGGGTCCATGGCTTCGTGGGGTCTGCGCCACACTCGAACCCTACCATCAGCTCTTACCAACTGAAATCGTGACTCATCGGACCAGGCCACGGTTTTCCATTCATCTAGGGACCAACCGATATGCTCACGTGCCCACGAGAGTCGCTGCAAGCGATGTCGTTCTGTCAGTAAAGGCACTCGAGTCGGTCTTCTGCTGGAATAGCCCAAGAAAGCCAAATTTCTCCGCACAGTTCTAACAGACAAGACCTTTGTACGTCCCACATTGATTTCTACGGTTATTTAACGCAGTGTTGCTTGTCTGTTAGAATTTACGACTCTTTGCAGACGTCGCCGGTCTCGGTCGTTAAGTGCAGGCGGTCGACCACTGCGCTGTCCATGGTGGGATGTTATGCCTGAAATTTCATACTCTCGGCACACTCTTGACACAGTTGATCTGGGAATGTTGAATTCCCTAACGATTTCCGAAATGGCATGACCCATGCGTCTAGCTCCAACTAACATTCCGCGTTCAAAGTCTGTTAATTCCCGTCGTGCGGTCATCATCACGTCAAAACCTCTTCACATGAATAACTTGAACAGAAATGAAAGCTCTGCGAAAGCACTGCGCATTTATACCCGTTCTACGCGATGCTACTGCCATCTGAAAATTTGCATATTGCTATCCCATGACTTTTGTCACTTCAGTGTATGTTGGCCGAGTGACGAGCGCTCTGGCAACACAGGTTTTGTATTCGAGTTCCCAATTTTGGAATCATTGCAATTCATCACGAATGGGAATATTCGCGTCACAGAATTAAATCTCAGTTTTTTTTATACCATGAATATGCATGATTATGTCTATGTACACAAATGATGTATGACATGTCTACGTATCATTCTTATTTTAAATTTATTTTTCAAATTGCTGCTTAAAAAGTAGATTTCGGAGAATTTACGGCGTTCAATGTTCGAGGATTTTTTAATCAATACTTCTACAGAGACTAGCCACCTGAAGGCCAATTTTTCTAGACTCTGGCCTTTGATGCTTCAAGTTCGATTGCTGGCGTTGGCATGGATGTTTGTTGGTGGTTCGCAATCCACGTTAAGCTGTAGGTCCTGGTGTAATTAGCGCAAAGTGCCCACAATATAAGCACGCTTTATATTTTTGAATTTTCTTCCAAAAAAAAAATAATTTTAAGAAACATAAACTCACTTATATATATTTTTTTTCTAATGCAGCTGGCAAACACTTAGAGACTTGGTCTTGGATGCCTTAAGGCAAGCGCTGCACAGACGTTACTCACTTTGCATTACCCAGGGGGCTCGTGTCACTTGAAGATAAGCCACGGACGCGGAGCAATAATGCCCCGCAACGCTCTACGATCCTGTTAGACCGGGACCTGCGGTTTAAAGTAGATTCCGAACCACTACAACATCCAAGGCACCGCCGGAACTCGAACCCGAAACCTGTGGTACCGAGCGCCAGAGCGCTAGCCACTCGGCCATTCAGGCCCTCACTTATATATATTTACTGTGCGAATTTCGGGGGCATGGCGGATAGAGCGTTAGACATGCTGAGAAAAGAATGTCGACTTCAAAACCTAATAATAAAAACCGAACTAAAGGTTTTCTGTCTATACCAAGAATGGACACAATAATTCAGTAGATAGAATGGCCGAGTGTCTATTGCTCTGGTGCTCGATGCCATAGGGTTCGAGTGCCGGCGGTGCCATGGATGTTTGTTGTGGTTCGGAATCCACTTTAAGCTGTAGATTCCGGTCTCATATGATTGTAAGGCGTGACGGAGCCCAGTCAGACTTCTCTCTCCCCCACATCATTCCCAAACTGTATAGAGACAATTCAGCTCTAGGCACAGTGATGTCGTGTGGTGTAATAGTAGGTAAAAAGAACTGCCTTGAACTCGAGGAGGTAGGAGTGCGAACTACCCAGATGTCATCACTAATGTCGTTTGTTCGAAATCAATAAGGCTAAATGTGTGCAGTGTAGTGGGTACTACTGGGTAGCATTGAATCTCTTACATTTCTCCTTCTAGTGAAAAACGGCGTATCATTGGTGCTGAAGGGTTTTAAATGTTTGGGAGTCTAAGTACATTGGTTCCATGTCTGGATGTTGCTGTCGACCAAGTGAGATAAGAACCATCTTATAAAAAATGTTTGGGATATAGCAATGTTTTAGAATTCAACATTGCTTTCTATTCGATGATAAATAATGAGATTAATAGGGCGAAAACGAGAATTATCATATTCGAAATGCAGAAAATAGAACACGTTTTAGAATTTAATTATATGAGAGGTGGACGAAGAGTTATGCATTGTACAAATACTTCTTATAGAAAATTATATACTAATATCTTCTATGCTCGGAGGAAATTAGGGGAAATTGTCTGCTCTAATTTGAACTATCACATTTCAGGAATCATTTCAAAATATTTCATTTTCTTTTCCTCTTTTGTGTAAAACTGGAATTCCAGATAGTCCATCCGCAAAAAGAAGCTTAACTTCTTTGGACGAAAATAATTATGAAAATTATTTCTTACGAAAATTCATCTCCTAAAATCTAGTGCGATAGTGTTTCATCAAAATCTTCCAGAAAAAAATGATGAAACCTCCCATTTTTTTTAAAAAACTAATAATTTAAATTCATTTCACAAGTCAGATTTCAGGGCATTTTAAAAGAGATCCACCTCTACTGCAGATTTTTTGAAGAAAAAAAACCGTACACAAATAATAAATGCTTTTGGGAATATATGGGGATGTAGATATAATTGCTATGTTTACAGAAACTCTATCACAACTCGCTTCAGAAGAAAGCGTGTTTCGGCCATTTTTGATTTTTGCCAAAAAAAAAAATTTTTTTATCTTGCTGAAGGCCTGCAAATTAAAAGGCCATCATAAACACCCAGAGTGTGAGATGGTTGCTCGTGATTACTGTTTATGCGGCCCGAAAAAAATTCACTAATGTTTTTCTCCTTTCAGGATGGCAACGCCTTTTCTTGCCAAGCCACACTCCGGGTTCCATTGCCATAAAGCATCGGCAAGGAGTTGAGTTGCACCGATGCGGACTTCAAACGAAGAAAAAAAAATAATAAATAACTAAATGGAATGAAAGGCAGGTCATTGGACTAACTTTTTATTGGTGAACGTTCGTGAACGATTATGCAGTGAGTGCAGTTATTTTACAGCGCGTAAATTTACCCATTTGGACTTTTTCAATATTGTTCCCTGATGTGCGGTGATGTGGTTATATAGTATTCATCGATGATGAAAGGTTTTGGTGCAAAATTCTGCCATTCGGTTTAATGATTCGGGATTTTTTTATTCCAAAACAGAATGAAATGGTGGCCAATTCTTGTCGGATCGTTATGGGTACGAATTATTAGAAAAACTTTCAGTTTCCAATAATGAAACAGAAGTTATATGTTTCATAGCTTACAAATTCGTAAATATAGCCGATTCTTGCTTATGTTTTTAGAAGAAATTTCAAAAGGTTTTTTATTTCAAAATAATGTTTGAACTTTGAAATAAGAATGCATTCAATCTATTGACGAATATTCGTGAACTTTAATGCAGTGCAGTGTGTGCATTTGTTTTATAGCGAATAAATTTACCCACTTGGACTTTTTCAAAGTTGTCTTATAGTATATGCGCTTCGCGGTGATATAGTTGTATTCATTGTTGGTGGAAAATTCTGTCATTCAGTTTGAAGATTCGCGATTTTTTATTTCCAAAAGAGAAAGAAATAATGGCCAATTCTTGTCGGATCGTTATGGGTACGAATTATTAGAAAAACTTTCAGTTTCCAATAATGAAACAGAAGTTATATGTTTCATAGTTTAGAAATTTAGTCGATTCTTGTTTATGTCTATAGGAGAACATTAAAAAAGGTTTTATTTCAAGGTAATGTTTGCACCTTGAAATAAGAATGCATTCAGTCTATTGACGAATATTCGTGAACTTTAATGCAGTGCAGTGTGTGCATTTATTTTATAGCGGTTAAATTTACCCATTTGGACTTTTTCAATGTTGTTTTCTGATGTGCGTTCTGCAGTGATGTGTCTATGTTCATTAACAGGGAAACATTTTGTCATTTGGTTTGAGAATTTGAGAATCTTATACAAATCAGAATGAAATGGTAGCCAATTCTTCTAGGATCATTATGGCTTCAAATTATTAGAAAAACT